TGAATTCAAAAGAACAAACAAAAATTGATGATTATATAAATGAATAATTAAAAAACTTGATAATAAACTATTTTTATATTTTATAAAAAGGATTGTTATATCTTTTTCTCTATAATGAACGCTCTCTATACTAATACCGAACGAAATTTCTCGTCCAAGGGGTTCTGTACAGAGATCTTTGACTGTTTTATACACAAATAGCTTGATCGCTATTTAAAAATGCATCGATCATCTATTTTCTATTCACGTATACTCTTGTAAAATGAATGCCAACACCGCTGAGTGAACTGGACATTGCCGATATCATTGATGACGTGAGAATGGCAATGTTAATATTCTTTCATTGATCGAATAATGAGCAACACGTGAAATTAAAATAAATTTCATAACGAAACCAGCAATGAAAACAACAAAAAAACCGGCAACAATGAATGTCTTGGTCGAGATGCCGGGTCAAGAAATACCAAGAATACTAAAAGTACTTGTTAATAATTTTGAATTTTTCTAATTTTTATTAGTGCCTCCATCTTCAATCTTCTCAACAACCTCAGCAACTTCATAAGGAGCTACTCCAACAACGTTGACAGAAAAGACAAGCTCGACAACGCACAACGGCAGCACAAATATTATTTACTATATTTCTTAAGAAACGCCAGTTGGCGGTGGAGCATTTGGTATATGATGACGATGATGTTAATAAGGATGAAAATGGAGAAGGTTGGTGAAGATGGTAAGAAGGCGTTGGAGATGTGAGAAACGTGTGTGATATGTTAGAATGATGATTGTTATGTGCGGATGCATACAATTTAAAAAATAAGGGCATTATTATTAAATCAAATAATTATAATATACATATATTTGTTTTAAAAATTTTTATTCATTATAAACAATTTAAATATTTTAAATATTTTGTAAAAAAATTAAAAAACATTTAATTAAAAAATAACAATTAAATAATTAAATCACTTCTATATATTCTTTTTCTATTATCTTTACACTATAATGTTATTGTAAAACATACTTATTCTATTTATTTAAAAATAACATTAATCATATCACCATCTTCCAAATCAGTATTACCAACTTGATCTGTGGGTGATAAAAATTCATCCTCAAATTTTAATCTGAATTGCATATTATCTAAAAGATTCTTCATACGCTTGAATTGACTCATTACTGCTTGAATTGTCAATGTCTTTAAAGATTTAATGATTGGTCGGCGAGGGAATATTATTATTGTTAGATAAAAATACATCTTTAGGAAAAAATATTTTTAAAAACACCATATAAATAATTTACCTTTTTAACTCTAAGTTTTGTAATTGTGTTAGATGCCTCTAATAATTTCAAATGTAAATAATCATCTTGTGATTCGTCATTTAATATAGAATCAGCATCATCAATATTAATAAAACTATTATTATGATTATTAATACTGCTACAAGAAGAGCTAGCAATATTACTACCACTACTTAAAATAACGTTGTCAATACCAATACTGTTACAACTGTTACCATCAACATCAACCAAATCCATTACATCTATCATTTTTGTAGATGAATACTTTTCATTATTGCCATTGATGTTATAGTTGTTATTGGTTTGATCATCGAAAAGTCCCAATTGTAAATATTTCTGATGTTCTTTTTGTTTTTTTATAAAATCATATGTATCTTTGGTATATATTTCTTTTTAGGGAGCGGAAAATTATTAATAATATTAATATATGCAAGTAATATTGTATAACACGTAATTATTAATATTACACTAAAAAATTTTATTTACCAAAGGTAGCTTCATCGGTAATTCCTAAACTTGCCGGGGTTCCCAATTGAAATACTCTAAAGTTATTATAAGTCAATATTAGGTTTTGTTTGGGAATTTGTTTTGATGAACTTACAACATCCATGATAATTTGAAAATTGTCAGTCTGCAATAATAATTGGATTATTTAATTAATAAATTGATTATTATTGCTCATCATCATCATCATCGTCATGATACTCGTAATACTTACAAAGTCCATTAGGAAGTTTATAGGTTTTTCGAATTCCTCAATTCCATTTTTATTAAATTCGGTAATTTGAATATTGGGGTGTCTTATTGGCAAAACATTTATTTGAATTTTTTTATTTGCAGTGTAATTAGAAGCGGATTGCTCTTGGACTTGACCTTCTTGAGCTTTATACCCTTGTTGCTGTCTTATCTCTTGACTGTTACCGTTACTATTATCTTGTTGTTGTTGACTTATAGCAGCAAGTTCAGGGACAAGTTCATCATCATCATCATCACCATCATCATCATCAGATTCAATATTATAATAAGTTTTGAATGAAAAATTTTCTTTTAAAAATTTTAATCTTTTAGAATTTGTTTCTCTTGTATTAAAAAAATAATTTTATAAAATTTTTTATTAGAAAAAATAATTTTATAAAATTTTCTTTAAAAATTTGAAATAAAGAAAAAACCATTTACTGTATTTGTAAATCAATCAAAACTTGTGATGATGGTTGAGGAGGCGGTGTAACTGATTTCCTTTTATTATTATTATTATTATTATTATTATTATTATAATTGTCAATACTGTCTTTACTACTACTATCGTCATCTATATTAACACAATCATCTCCTTTGTCAACATCGATTAAACAAATAGATTCTTTTATAATAGTAGCATCTTTTTTAATTTTTGAAATTGTTTCTAAACTCTTTTCTTTGATTTTTCATACAAAGAAAATAATTTTAGCGGTGAGCAAATAATCATATAATAATATCGTCAACATAAAAATAATGAAATCAACTTACTATTTTTTTTGATAGTAGGCGATTTCTTAACAAAAACTCTTTTACGTGTAAAAAAAAAATCATCTTCTTCATCTTCCTCATTCTTAACAATAGTATCTTCTTCTTCGACTTTCTTCTTTTTATTCTCATTCTCGTCATCGGCATCAATACTAAATGCGCTATTAAAAGTGTTGGTGCTGGTGGTGTTATCAATATTACCCACATTACTATTTTCTTTATTTTTGTCATTATCAATATTATTGTTGGTAGTAGTATCAAATTTGATCTTAACATCATCATTTATAGTATCATTATCACTATCAATATCAATATCAATATAATTCATGTCATCATATTTAAGACTATTACTACAATCAGTGAGATCTATTGTATCAATATCATCATTATTCTTATATTCAATAATTTTTTGAACTTTTTCCAAAAGTTTATTTGACGCGTCTTTATTGTATGCAGATATAGACTTAGATGTAGTTATAGTTGGTGTAGATGTTACCGATGATGTTGTTGAATCAACGCGTTCTAAATTTGGCCTTAAACTTTTTTTTATGGGGTTTATAGTACGTGGTTTAATCTTTATAGTTTGACGTTTTGTTTTAATTTCTTCGTCTGACAACATGTTTGTAAAAATAAAAATTTGAAAAAAACTAAATAAAAAAATTTATAAGATGTTTTTAAAGAATTATTGTTAAACTAGATAGATATATACAAAAAAGCCCAAAAAATAATTTTTTTTGGAAGGAAAAAATAAAATTGTGTAAATGAAAATAAATAAATAAATGGCTGCTGTTTATCCAATCAACTCTTGTGACCATGAGTGGTATATAAATAAATAAATAACAACAATTTACTGTTTTCATGACCCGTAATATAATCACTCATTCACTGTTTGTTTTATTAAATAAATATAAAATTTAAAAAGAAATAATAGTTTTGAAGTTGGTTTTATTATTATTTACTTATTTTATTCGTTGAGGTTATTTATTCTCGCTACGATACAATCGCGTGATGTAAAAATAATTTCTCAAATTTGTTTGATAAATGAGAAGAATATGACGGTCAATCATGTGATTCACAATTATAAACTCAAGGATTTACAAAACTTTAGATGAAATAATAACTAGGTCACAAATAATGATGATGTTTTGTGATAATAACTTATTGATTGATTTCTTATACTGGAAAAATATGTGGACATACATATTATTACTATTATTATTGTTATTGATCCCGAGACAAATTGCATCAGGAAAACGGGGTAAATCTATGGCATATAAAAGCAGGTTAGATCCGTCGGAGAAGCCTCAAAAATAAATTTATCAAAATGATTAAAATCCAACTAACAATCAAACGAATCATTATTATTATCGTCCATACCATATGGTTTTTTACTTTTGCCTTTAGCAGTTTCGATAACGACGGCCATATTATCCAATAAATAAACAAAACAGCCATCTTGGTACTACTTGACAAACAGAAAATGTACGTTCAAGGTATTCATTTTTCACGAACTGGATTATCAAACCACGGTAAGATGTGAGTATTTTTTTTTATCCAACACCTGTGCAAGTAGATAGTTTTCGGAATTACGAGACATAGAATGCCCTCCCTTGGTAGTTCTCTAGCCATAGCTGTAGGTGCTACCATTTTTATTAAATGAAATGTAATTTGAAATAGAAATTTCAATAGGTAAAGGCATTACGTGCACCATAAATTTCGGGATGCACTAAGATTTCGCAATGATGCTAAATATGTATTCATGCCATAGACAATTGAATTGGAACCATAGGCTTCGATGGGACAGTATTTTTTTCAATAGGCTCCGACGAGGTAATATTTTTCTTGAAGGATCGCACGGGAGAAAAAAATAGACGGATTCAGATCCATTATGCTTATTATTCTCTACTCATTGGCTCGAATTTGTAATGAAAATACTACTATATATATATGAAATGAAATATAATCATAATCACATGGTTCGAAAACATGCTAATGCAAACATCTTTCTTCTTCTTCTTCTTCCCCACAAGATCGTTTATTTTTCTGAAACATACTAATACGCGGATCGATTCTACTCACAAAAAAAAAGGGTTACGCTTAATTAACTTGTAATGACATTTTGATTGTTAGCTTGGTTAATTTGATAAATTTATTTTTGAGACTTCTCCGAGTCTGCTTTTATATATCATAGGTTTACACGGGAAATTTATATTAGATCAATAGTAATATCATGAGGCAATTTATCTCTCTATGGACGATTATATTGTAATTTTTTTTGTGAGCAATTCGATTATAAATTTATAGATGGGGAAAATCTTCATACTCACGTTTTCTAGCCTTATCTTGGAATGATTTGGGATGTTTTTCCATAATCTACACAAATGTTCTTACGGTTGGTTGTATAATGCACAATCGTAAATTTGACCTGACCATACAGTCTACAATACCCTGAGATTTTTGGGGTGATATTTTTTGGTTGGCTACTTTGTTCTTGCATTTATTTTCATTTTTAAAGAATTCCATTATATATAAATATTTTTTTTTCAGCAGATATTGTTATTTAAAAATCTAATGATTATTCAAGATGGAAATAACTTCAAATGATGAATATTCGGATAACTGCAAAGAAGAATATGCTAATAATAATGATGATGTCAATCATGTGACCCACAACTATTGACTCTAGGATGGACTAGTATGATAAGGATACATTAGATGAACTAATAAAAGCGCACAACTTGAAGCAATATATTATGATAGTTGGGATTATTTTCTTATGAAAATTTGAAAGCTATTGAAAAGAGTGGTAAAGGTGGAATATCTAATATCAGAAAAGTTATCGTAGAATTGTTTTAAGAGATAGTTCTGAATTTATTGGTAAATTAGCAACTTCTTGCAAAACGATTCAGGTTTTAAATATATATTAATATTGCCATATTAAAACGGTATATATTATTGTTATTATAGTCTAGCTCAACCAATTAAAGTACAAAAATTAATTGTAATTATAGTAATTGTAATGAAACATTTAAAATAATCAATTTTTTTATTTCAATATAAGTTTGCCATAAAATATACGATTCACCAACTTTCATCAGAATCAATATAAATTTGTGGCGAACCAATTGACAGAAAATATTTTGTCAATTAATAGGAACAATCTTTAATTTTAATGTCGCGTGACCTAAAATTTCACTGATAAATCGCTGGCAATTTATGAAATTTAAATAGAAACAATAACGTTGTTAGGGCTTTCTCTCAAATATTAAACGTAGCGTTCGTTATTTCCCAAAGGTTACATTCACATTAATACATACTATAAACTTAGTCATAAATGCTTTCGAATAAAAAAATCGTAGAGAATTATTAAAGATAGAAACCAATTGATTTAAAAGTTTTAACTTGACGATTGGCGGAAGATTAATTAATTATAAAAATAAATTTTTTTTACACGTTAAAAATGATTTACACGCATAACATAATAATAATAATAATAAATAAATGGTGATGGCAGCGATGATTTAATGTAAGGTTGATTGATCGGAGAGAACAAAAAAATTTTACTTTTTAACTATTCTTTACGATATATATATATATTCTCTTTGAAAAAAATTAATCTGAGACCCAATAATTAATTAAATTGAATGGATCGAAACCTTCTCAGTTTGATTTTAATGAATCCATCCACATCCATCATCATAATCATGATTCAAATATATACGCGAGAGCGATAATTTATTATGAAAAATAATGAGTAATTTGTAATTATTTAATTATACATATATAAAAATATAAAGACAGAATTAAATATCCGAATTAATAAAAATTTAATAAACCTTTCTACATATTAATCCACGTCATTATTCTGAGATATAATTCAGCAATTAATAATATGGTAATGGTAATGGTAATGACAATGGTAAATAATAATAGTAATTATAATTATAATCTATTAATAATTCTAATGGAGTTGATTGGAATATTCTAGAGGTCATTTGACTTGAAATACACTTTCTTTTAACTTACTTACTAATTCACTTACAGTGATTATTATAAATATTGAAGCAACAACTCCTTTTCTTTTTCTATTTTTTGAATCTCCATTTTTTTCTTTTTCTTTTTTTTTTTTACTTTCCTAAAAAAAAAAAGAAGTTTTTTATTCCTAATGTTTTAATTTATTTAAAGGAGTAAACAATCTTATATTAAAATAAAATAAATTCTATTATATTATATTCACTCGTATTGGTAATAACAATAACAATAATAATAATATTTTCGGATCATTTTTTTTCTTTATTTCAAAAAATTCTTTCTCATCAAATAAATTTTTTTTTCCTTCTTCCGACTCCACGTACAATTTAATATTTTTTCGGTTTTAATATTTTTTCTTTCTTCTCGGATATTATTTATTATCATTCTCTCTCCAAACAATATTTTTATTCAAAAGAAACAATGCAAAACAATTCGAAAAATTCTGTTAATAAAAACTCCCTTCAAACCAACCTTCACGGCCTTAACCCTAATAACAATAATGACAATAATTTCCAACCTTCCTTAGAATCTCCAATCACCGCCACTTTTCCTGTAATGTCTACTAATACAACAACGCCTAATTTAAATAATTGCAATGATAATAATCCAACGTTTACTTTTGTTCCAGCGCCATTTCCAGTTCAACAATTACAATTTCCTCAACTACAACTGCAAAATACTACCAATCCACCAGCAAAACCTAAACGAAAACAAGTTAAAAATGCATGTGGTATGTATGAATAAATTTTCGAAAAAAAAAAATGAAAATAAAATCTTGTTTGTTTGTTACTTTATTTGGAATGTGTAACAACTATTTACTAAATATGTACTAATACAATGAATAAAATTAGTTAATTGTCAAAGGGCTTGTAAAAAATGTGACGAAGGAAGACCTTGTCAACGTTGTATTAAATACGAACTTACAGACACTTGTCAAGATTCCATTCGTAAAGAACGTAAAAAGGGTATAAAAAGAGGACCCTACAAACGAAGAACTAAAAGTAATTATTATTTTTAATTATTGTATTTCTAACGTTATTTTAATGGCAATAATAATAACAACGTCATTTCAAAAATCATAGCAATTACAACTTCTACCGAAACAAAAAATTTAGATTTGATAGATAGTCCTTCAACTCCTACTAATATTCCCATTGCTGTTTCTGGAACGGTTTCGACTGAAGCTAGTAATATTAATAGTACGTTAACAATAGCATCAACAACAGCAACAGCAACAGCAACGGAAACAGCAGCAGCAACGCCACTAACAACAACAAATCAAATACTTTTGAATCTCCCGATCCAATCAACAACTGTAATGGGCGCACCACAAAATGTTACATTACCAGAAGGTTTAGGTCAATTTGTAATGATCCCCGCTCGTGCAGGTAACACTCCTTACTATGTTCTTATACCTTCTCAATGTTTCCAACAACAAGTAGTTTTACCACCACCACCACCACAACAACAACATCAACAACAGCAGCAGCAACAGCAAGTAGCACAGCAGCAATTATCTTCTTCTCAACAAAATCAAAATCATGATATTTCAAGTAACTGGCCACAACAACAAGAAAATGATTCTGACAAATTGTCATCTCAAAATGAAAATAAAAATTCGGAACAACAAAATTCCGAAAAGCAAGAAAGTTATTACCCTCCTTCTACTGCCACTGCCATTCATCAAGGAAGGGGAGCAGAGGTTAATGAGGGGAGAAGAGAAAATGGCAAAGAAGATAAAGATGATGAAATGAATGTCGGTAAAAATATTAACGACGATGTTGCTGATGATGGTACTAGTAATAGTGGTGATGGTGGCGGTGATAATGGCGATAAAGACAATGACGGTTCAAATTTATCAGTGCTTTCGCTTGTTTGTAGCGAAATGTTGGATAAATCGCATGATCCAACAAATATCAATGAAAAATCTGACGATTATGATTATGACGATGTTAAGAATAAATGTAATCATGAAGACAACAATGAGAACGTAGAATGGTATAATGAAGAAAATTCTAAAAAGAAAAAATCATCATTGGTAAATTCTAAAGGAAAGCGTCGAGTTACTACTACTGATGGCGATTGTCACAATAACAACGAAAACAATGAATATTTAATCAGTAATGATAAAGATAATAATAAATCTCCGGTATCTCCATCGCCATATGCTGCCTCTAAACCTTCAAAAAATCAAAATAAAACTGTAAATAATAATAGTAATGATGATGATGATAATAAAATTATTAATTTTATAAATTCTGATGTTTTTTCTGCCGATGATGATGGTGATAGTGATTTGGTTGGTGTTAGTGGTGATAATGACAACATGAGAATATTTCATTCGCCTAATAACAATGGCAATGGCAATAGTGATGATCAAATAGATCAAGTAAATCAAATTAATTTATCGACATCGGCTTCAAGTATCGCTGCAGCTACACCACCATCAAAATCATTGAATGGCAGCTGTCCTTTACTTTTCAAGATTCCTGCTAACACTTATCCAGTAGCACCTCCTCAATTCGTCCCAGTAAAGCGTGATAATAATGATGATGCTAATTCTTCTTCTAATACTACTACTGATCACCACCACCACCACCATCACCACCACCATCATCACGATATTAAACGTCAAAATACTGGTAATGGTAGATATATTAGCAACAATAGTAGTCAATGTAATCACGCTGGTAGTAATAATAGTATTAATAATGATGGTGATAGTAATAGTAACAATTCTGCTACTTCTGCTTCTTCTAGTAGCAATAGTTATGTTTTATCCAATAAAAATCTTGTTCCTGCTTCAACCACACCATCGGCTACAATAGCAAATTACACATTAAATCAATATTATGATGAAATGTCTTCTTCCAACCAATCGCTTCTCTACCCTCAAGCCAAATTCTTGAACAAACATCAACAACATCTTCAACAACAACATCTTCAACAACGACAACAACAATTTACTTCAAATTTAAATTCTCGTGTTTCGCACGTCTTTAACTCTAATAATTGTAATTCCACCGCCAGTGCTACTACTGCTATACCAGAAATTGATAAATCACCAAACGGAATTCATCGTCATTAACATCATCACATCGTTGTATTTCTCATAACAATGGTAATATGAGTAATAGTAATATGGAAAACGCCATTTAAATAATGAATAATAATGAAGCACGGCCAATTAATCAATAATAATTATCTTTGGAAAATAAATTAATTGGTAGAGCATTTTAAAGATTAAAATCGCTAAATACTATTTATTTTTTTATTTATATTTATACATATACTATATAACCAATAAATACCATTTGCATAATAATTTATAAATATTTGCTTTAAAAAAAATTTAGTTTATATGTCGATTATGACGTGAAAAGATGATAAAAAATTTTTGAGCCAAATATCTCGACTATTTAATATTAACAATACATGAATTTAGTCTCTTAATGTATATAACATTAAAATAGTTTTTCTCAATTATTCTGTCATTTTCAAAACTTCAAATTTATATTATAAATGCAACAATTTTTAAACTCTTCAAAATAGTCCTAGCACTCAACTAGATTTCTTTGGTTCAAGAAGCAAAACAGTCCAACCATTTCCCTAGAGGAAATACAATACATATATATGAGCATTAAGACAAGTGCAGTAAATGTGTCTATTTGGCCATCGAGAGGAATTTTGAGAATTGTTCAAAGTTTATACACAATGACGATAGTTATTAAATTAATTAATAATAAACAAAATTGAACCAAATAACGAGATTGAACTTTAATCATTTGAATTCATATATGTAAGTTATTGAGGTTTAAATATTGATAGATAGTCACGCGAAAAACAAAAACTGTGTCCAATAAATACGTAAATTCAATATATTGACGTATTTATTAGTTGGAAGGTAAATATGAGTTAAAAAATCATTACAGTTTTTGATTTTTGGATATGTTATACATTTTTGGTGAAAGAAGGAAAATTGCTATTCTGAAAGGAACCAGTAATCTTAAAAATCGGGAGATATTAAAAAATAAGACCAGAAACAATGAATAAAATCAACATCGTACCTTTTCGTGAAAGTTTTAAGTTAATATTTTTAGAAAAAAAATCACAAAAAGAATTTGTAACTTGAAAAAATAGATTTTATGAATCTCATAAAATGGAATAAAAATCAACATCACCGAGTTTTATTCTTGATATGGCACATAGTCAAAAGGCTGGCAAGAAGCGATAAAAAGATTACAACGGAGATGATAACATTAGTAATTAATGTGTTTTGGAGTTCGAACATAATTTTGAAAATTGTTTAAATTTTCATGTGACATTTATTAAAAATAATTTACTATATATCTCATTTATATTTGGATCGGTCTCCAACCTTATTTCTATATAACTTAGACAAAGGATTACAAATCATTTTATTTGTTATAGAGAGATATTAAAAAAAAAGGGAACTTTGTTATAGAGGAACATTAATGACAAAAACAGAAAAAAAGTTCAACATGTGAATCTTAATGTTTATCATAGGATATCATTCAATATTGTAAAGTAAAAGTTTATGATAAAAATAAAGATATATGTTAAAAACATGAGTAATTTGAAAGATTATTTGCTATGGTGTGGGAAATCTACTTGACAATCACATGAAAATTTTCGGCTATATATGTTTTGTGATTGTCCAATAATATTGTATTGTCGATTTATATCTTGAATGTCCAACAAATACTTGTTGTAACATATATGAATTGATTGACATAATTTTCTTTCATATTTAGCATATTCTCTGACTGCACTGATAAATCAAGATTGACATAAAAATTTTCAACAAGTGGTGCAGCATGTGATGTCTTTAGATGATTGTAAATCTTAAGGTCAAGTTATATGTTAAACTTAATTTTGGTCTGAGTCAAATCATGTAAAAAACAGGAATTTTTGTTACTGATCTATCTATGAAGTTTGTGGGGTCCTGTCTATATAAAAAATTCCTTGGTTGATAAATGTTTTGTGAATTAATATTATTATTGCCGATTTTTATTGCATTTTTGATTGTAAATTTTTCCTCAAAACTGTTGTCAAGGCGCAGTAAGTTGCATTTTGCACATCTTTTTCATTTGTTTATAAATGAAAATATTTTTATTTGTCAATCATATCCAAATCAATACTACAATACAATTTTTTAAATAGGAATAAACACACTGGTCTTGGGAAATTGAGAATATAGACCATTGAGTACTGTACACTTTTGTATTCCTGTACTGTATGATCTACAAAATTGAAAAAATCATTCAGTTCACAACACCCTCCACCAATCAAATTTTGAATACCTATAAATTCTGTACTTATATAGCTCAAGTCATCTAAAACCAACCAATTTTATTCGGCATTTTTGAAACCCATCACATGGGCGCACAGAGAACTTTTGGACTCAAACTCTTCATAGTTTATATAGTAAATGCCAAAGAATAATTCTATGAAAAGTTTGATGTAAAATATTTATTACTTAAAAAGTTATGGTAGTTTGAATATTTTCTATATTTTAAATACTGTTTACCCTAAATTTTGCCACCTCTTTCATAAAATTTTCCTTTGATGATATTGATGATTAGGGTTGTGCTGGTCTTTAAAAGACCGGTCCCTTTGAACCACGGTCCTAAATTTTTAGGACCAGACTGGACCAACACAACCCTATTGATGGAAGAAGATCATCCCCTATTTAAGAAATTTTATTTCCTGGATTAGAGATGATATTCTAAAATTTTGCTTATAGATGACTCGAGCTGTACAACCTGACTAATACCCATAGATAGGTTACACTAACATTACTAACGAGTTTTACCCTGTTAAAGTAAACGGATCAGTGTTATTTAGAAGCCTTTTCTGGTTTTGAGTTAATGTTTGGTCATTTGATAATGATCATTTATTCCGTTGCCCTCTTCTTCCTCTGATCATGATATGTCAAAAAGTCTATTCAAGAAATAAAAATACTATTGGTTATATAATTTATATAATAATACAGTGAATGAATAATATAAATGTATTTATTTATGAATTTTTTTTTGATCATGATGAAAAGAATATATTCGATGAGTCATCCATCATCCAGCGATACTTTTGAGCAGCACATTAACGATTTCCAGAATTGCTATAAATGCCCTGCATATTTCCGAATAATCTGGAGCGACTCTTTTCATACAACCACTGGTGGAGATTGAGAATAATGACATTGATTGAATTTCATCTTATTAGTAATGTGATTGAATAAGGAAATACATACGAGTGAGCAGAATCGAAAACACTTTTTATAAAATGCCTCTCATGGCTCATTCATGCATTCCAAATGGACTATGAGAAATCATTCAATTCAATGTAGTAGTATCATATATAAAATGTAAATTTTCAAAACAATAACCAAATCCAATGCTGCAATGGGAACAAATAAATCCTGGTCAAATAGGATATAGATATGTTGATCAAGAAGGTGATGGTGATAATATAAAATGAACTTTGCGAATTTTCAAAGTTGCTTCCAAAAAATAACACGTCAAAGAGTCTTTTGACATTTGGGCATCTGGTAGTAACTTGGTTGATGATTTTATTCAATAATGTCAAATGTTCTCATCTTTGTCAAACTGTATTTTAAAGTGGATACCTTTTGATCATTTTCAAAATGTTACAAAATTAACTGAAGGTGGATTTATACAGCTACATGGATAAGAGGACCAATTATTGATTACAATGAAAATAAAAAAGTATTTAATTATGTATGAGCTCTAGTTGTAGTAATTAAAATGTTAAATAATTCAAGTAATCCAACAAAAGCATGTCTTGATGAGGTAATTAATTTTATTTTATTTGTAGCAAAATAAATAATACTACATTATATATAACATTAATTGATTTTATGTTTATTTTCAGGCAATAAATTAAATCACAAACGATTGTTCCTTGCTACGGTATAAACAAATTTCTGGATAATGGAGATTATGCGATGGTTATTAATCACTGTATATACCAAAAGGGATTTAAGAGATTATTTAAAAAACATATTCAAATTATCACTAAAAAAAAAAACAGAATTACAATTATTAAGTATTTATGTGAATCATTATATCGTATACATATGAAAAATTAATTCATTGTGATCTACATAGTGGTAATATATTATTCCAAGGAGGTGGTTGTTTTATTACAGATTTAGGATTATGTGGACCAGTTGATGAAAAATCATCAAATGAAATCCATACTTGGAGGCAAAAATAATACAAAAACACAAAGGAAACGCATTGGGATGTTAATGTGGGAAATATTTGCAGGCCATAATCATCATTTAATTTATGGTATATGTGGAGGTTTACAACCACCAATATTACCTGAAATACTTGATTATTATTCACAAATAATGTAAAAGTGTTGGGACGAAGAAGATTCATCAAAAAGACCAACTGCTAATGAGCAGCTGAAAAATTAATAATAATAATAGTGGCGGTGGTGGTGATGGTGGTGATAATGGTAGTAATTCACACAAACCATATCCAGATGCATATCATGCAAGTAGAATATTAGATGATGAAATTGCTAAATATCAAAAGCTTAAAAAGTTATGCAAGTAATGAGAGTTTATTAAAATAATCTTGATTTTCTCATAAATACAAATTTTAATAAAGATATAAAAAAAAAAAAAAAAAGTCATTACTAATTACACGGAAATTACTATCCATTAATTATTAATAGCAATATTTTTTATTTGGAGACAAGATTAATTATCACACACCATCATCCTACTTTTAATTTCATCCATCTCAGAATTATCATGTTCATAATATAATGTTAAAAGGGCAGTTTTTGCTGCTTCTTCAATAGCTGCCTCACGATTAAGATTTGTTGACGAGGTATGATGAAATCTACGTTTTTTGATTCCAATTATAACAACTAGCATTCCTCCTTCATCGATGAGGCTTGATATTTTTGGAATTCCAAGGTCTTGAAATTTACAATATCTTTTCAAATAACTTTGGTATGACTTTGCCTCTTGCATAGCCTCATGATGCCACCATAGACGTGATTTTGTTAAAAGTTGCTCAATATAAGGAGGTAGTGGTTCATTGGGTTTTGCAAGCTCTGCCAATTGTTCCTCAGTAAAATTAGTTAAAATAACATCAAGAGCGCTTTTCGCCACCTTCTGGTGTGCCTTAAATTGAATAACGCTTGCTTCCTTGGTAGTGTACTCCTTGTCTAAAAAGTTCAAAGTAGAATGCCATTTGTTGACCTTATCGTCCTTAAAAAAAGTAAAAGACGATTTTTTCTTCATCTTTTTCTCGATTCTATGAAGCACCGATATAGGATGTAAACACGCAGGTACTTTTTTGCCATTGATGGATAACGATTCTCTTCTGGAACTTATGGAATTCATAATTATAAAATTAAAATTGTTGAAATATATTTTTTTTTTGGTTTGAATGGTTTGTTTTTATCAAAAATATGCGTTACACATATCAAACAATTTTTATTTGCCAAATTCCAAAAATTAAGGATGAGAATCTGTAATAATAAAGATAATAAAGATATATACATATCTATATAATCATTATTAACAACAACCCATTTGAATTTACAGGGCGCGTAATATCTTGTAAATTTTAAAAATCTACAAACAGAATTCTGATAGATACTCTTTTTAAGTGTATTTATGACGTGATGGCTGAATGATCAAATTGTTCTTCTATTCCATTTATCGTTTCACAATTTTTTATTTTTGAAAACGATCTACGAAAATTTTTTTTATTCTATTTTCGTTTTAAAGTGAGCGTTAACAACATTATTTGCTTTAGCGAAATATTGTTCAAAAGCTAATTGTAACAAAATCGTGATTGTAAATATAAGGCTGTTGTTAACCGTTAAGTGTTCGCTGAAGCTTTCTAGGTACAAGGGAAAGGAAATAAGCGAGAGCCAAAGTAAACTCGTAAGCCAATGAATTAATAAGCACCAAGTTATTGTAAATTAATTGGTTGCAATTAGCTGACAAGAAAGTTAAACCATCACCGAACATCCGTGTTAAACAATCAGCGTTAACCGAAAAGCTACCTTGCAATATTTTTACACTGCAAAATTCTATTTTCTGTTATTTTTATGTTTTTACAAATTATAATTATAGCCTACTACCATCCATCTTATTAGATATTTTTTCGTTTGATTTTAATTGTTATTGAAGGTGTCGTTGAAGAATATAAAAGATTAAATTACTTAATCAATGATTGTATAGCATCACTCATCAAAGAAAAGCGTTGTTTGAATCATACTGTAATTAATGAACAAAAATGCTTTGAGGAAATCCATGAGTTGTATTAATGGGCTTGTTGATAGTAATTAATGACGATTATGATAGAAATTTCCACAAGCGTGACCAAAGAATCACAAATGGCTTTGGGTCCAAGTATTTTTCCTCTCATGTAATTACACTGGTAGTCTTACCTGGATTTTTAATATTTAATATTTATATTTATAAAATCAAACCATGTCCATTATAATATTCGGAACGATTACGCAATGAATTTGATGTAATGATAATCGTATCGCACAGTAAAATCATATTAAACTTTAAGCAACCAATTTTGGAAACGTCATATAATGTTCTGACAAGTAAAAATGAGAAAATTTGGTAGTGTTGTAAAATAAACAACCTTTGATTCTTTGTTGAATTTTAATCTATGTCTTTTTTCCATTTAGTACAAGAGTTTATCGCCTTATTAGTGGAGAATTTTTAATGATTGAGTCTTTTCTTGGACTCCAGGGTTCCCTTCTCGACTGTATATAGTTACGAATCGTAGAGTTCCTTATCAGATTAAACCAAATTGTCCATTCCACACATATACAAGTTCCTTCTTGCTATCCTTACGGCAAGAACAGTGATCTCCGGCAGCGAAATAAATATCTGACAACAGTTATACCAATAATCTGCAGACTTTTGCTCAAATTCTGCTTAATTGGAAAATTAGAAGATGTATCTTTGAATCAAGAAGCTAGAATAATATGGGCAAGTTCTGTGACTCTTACCTTTTTGCTAATTTTCGATGACATTCATACACCACGAGTGATTTTGATCTCGAAACCTTCAATTTATCTGTTATAAATAATCTAAATTTCATCATTGTAATGAATTAATTTATTGTCATGCCTACTATGTAAAGACCAATTTACTTGCATCCCTCGATAAAACTAAGGGACCAAAGAATGTTGAGATACTCGTAAACATCATAATGTTAATTACTATTAATATATAAATATAAATAATAAATGAAAATTTAATTAACCTTCAGATGTAAATATTTCCCATGTAAACTACACTTCTTTTTGTTAAATTGTTAAGTATATAAACGGCAATGAGTTAATTAGAAAATAAAATTCTAACCTGATTGTTTCAATTTTTTTAACAACCATAGCTCGTGACTTCTTTCTTCGCTGACAGAAAAACGTAATTAACATAATATTTTTATAACGGTTTTACAATATTTCTAGTGAAATATTATTGTAAAAACGTTTGTTATGCTCAATTCTTTCACTATGTTAATTACATTTTTTACTAGTGTTTAATGCCAAAGATCATCTGCCAACATGATGACTCTTTAGGGCAAAGTACCTAAACGTAGGAGGGTCTCCAACAAACTCTTTAAAAAAAGGAGCACAAATGTAATTTCGTTGAAATTCACAGTCTCTCCGTTCCACCCTGAATCCTCCATATCCTTCAGGCCCTAGAGTTTGATTAACCCATTTTTAAGATAAAGAATAATTGCAAATTTTTATTTAATATCTGACTTTCTGAATTTGATTAACTGCATCCAAAAATTCAAACATATGCGCAGACAATGTTTTTGAAAAACAAAATAAATTAATAATATATTTTCACATATTTTAAAATATTTGGTACTTTATGAATTCTAATCGTTGTCACCTCTCATTGAAAAATAAAGAAAATAAAAGAATGGATTCTGTTACTGCTGCAAATTCTTATTTTCTTTTACTACTTGAAATAAAACACTACGGCAGGTATTGGGTGGAGTCCACAAAAAAGAGAGGTACTGATCCCACCTTTGAATATAACGTGGCATATTAGGAGGATTTTTCTGGGGGAACAAATGCTGATGGCGAAAAAACCATGATCAAAAATGGTCATATGGCAGTAGTCAGTCTTTGCTAAATGCGTAAAATTTCTTTTTACTATAATAAAAAATAGAAATCTCCCTGTATTCATAATCATACTACAACTATATTTGAAAACGAGAATGATATCTCTCTTTTCCATGGACTAGTTTACAATTTTTTTTGTTATTTACTTTTGTCGATCAAAAAAAAATATTAATTATATATTACAACGTAGAATTGTGAACGTTTTTAGTTTTATAATATATAGAATTCAGCTTGTAAATATTTTGTTTTATGGAAATGACTTACAGATAAAGAGTTCATTCATTTTTTTTACAATTTAAAAAAAATTCACTATTATTTTTTTTTCTACAGCAATAGGATGGGTATTAAAAATTTTCTGAGCCTTACATCCGTGTAATTGTGATCCTAAAAATGGGAAATCAAAGATCAATAACACTTTTTTAATAAAAATATAATTGTTGAATAAAAAAATATATAAATAATTTTTCTTGTTTTTTCTAAATACAAAGAGGCTAAAGAACAAGTGTGCATTAAGTTAGAAGCCGTGGGAAAATAAAGATGTATGTTGAATTAAATAATATTCTGGATCAAAGAGACTGTGTGGTATGTATGTTGAATTAAAGGCTGTGGTGTATTGGCTATGTCGAATTAAAGAAAATGTTTGAATTAGAAGAGGCTATGATAAAATCAGTGTTAAATTAAAACTTGGAACTAATTCATATATGGAAAGGATTATTATAGTTCTCGATGTATAAAAGACCTTGATTTGACTTAGTCATAAAAGGCATTAAATATTAATAGGAGGAAGTGAAGAAGAAGAGGAGTCAAAATTCTTTCCTACAAAGAAATTCTCGGGAACAATGAAAATTTTAAAATAAAACGTCACGTAGTTCATTTAGTTATATTAATATATACTGTATATAGTTATAATGTATTATTACTATTAATCTGTGCGAAAAAAAACCTTATCCATATTAACATTTATTATACGTAGTCAGTCTTGTCTTTTTATTTTTAATTATGTTTATTATTTATTATATTGTTTTTAAGCATAATTTTTTCAGCCGAGTTATTTATCGCATCCGATTGGATTATATAATATTTATGATTTTAATTGTTTATTTATTATTTATTCACAAACATGTCTTTGTGTTTCCTAATTATGGTCACAACATAGGAATATCATTGGTTTGTATATTTTTAGTCTTTTATTTAACATCACTAAATTTGGCAATTCTTTGTGTAGAATTTATTGATCGCAAATCTTTCCCTTTATTTGAGAATTTGCTTTTAAAGCCATTATTATTATATGCAGTCAATCAATCATCTGATTATAAAATCACAAAAGAACTTATCATGGTAAGTAATGAATAGGATTACCAAAACCATGCCTAGAAATGGTAGTTGTAGCTTTAGCAACCTATCAAAGCATAATGAATTTAGCAGAAAAGAACCATATAATTCTAATTATCTTTTACATTGCGTCCCAAACATTCTTTATTTTTACATTGATTTACTAAAAATTTATAAATACTTCTTTGTCGATGGAATAAAAGCGAGAATACTGAAATGAATTGTTAATTATTTAATCAGTGAATTTTTTCAAAATATATTAATATTTCCTTGTTTACTGTAAAGCGAAAGCTGGCTGACCAACACAGATAGTTTTTTTATCAATAATATTTGACCTGGAAAAACTATCTTATCAATGCTTTTAGAACACTCGGTCACAAATTCTGTGTTAGGATTATCAAAAATTTTCTCTGGCGCGATATTGCGCAATTATTGCGCTTGTAAATATCTATGATATTGTGTAATAAGAAAAATTTCCTAGTGCTTTTAAAAGTATCGATTGCTCTGACTGTATCATCATGAGAAAATATGGCACTTTATTGAAAATATTGAATATAAATAAGTCTCTGGTAATATGTCGAAAGAATAAAGTTCGGTTGACTTTTGCTTGTTTAATCTGAATATGTCCGTCTTCAACAATAATGTTATGTGCTTCAACAAAAAACATTATTCGCTTTGCGGAACTGGCGGTCAACGTGAAATTTTTCCGCGAGCTTCCGCATATATTACAATTTTTTGCCTAATGGATAAAGTATCTGACCTCAGAAAAGCCATCTTCTTACGTTACAGAGTACAAATTTTGCCAAAAAAACAGTGTAATTACATGAGAGGAAAAATACTTGGACCCAAAGCCATTTGTGATTCTTTG